TCAGCAGTCACTTTCCTTTGTGTCCTGCATGTTCAGTTTGGATAGCATATTATCAGCAGTCAAGGCAAAGGCAGTTTCTTACCCAAATGGCTCTTTGCCACATTGAAAGTAAACTCCATATGGAGGTTCTTTGATGACCATCTGAAGTAGATTGGCGCTGCCAGAAGCAGGCGTGTCTCACTGTCATAAAAAGATTAGTTTAATAAAACATTTTAAATGACATATTCTGTAGGTCTTTGAAATGTTTGAAGAGCATCTATCTAAAACATATCTGTTTAACCTTAAAAACATACCTAATATGACTGCAAGTTTGATTATTATAGATGACTAACTACTAACCTGCTTTTCTTAATGATACATTACATTGTTAACTAAGCTGCATAATAAGCATAATACCCAAAACAAGAGTAGAAACACACATACAGTATAACAAAAATAACTTTAAATTTGTATCAATATGCCAAAATCCATACCAATGTAAAATATTTGAGGTTAAATTTGTCTTTTTATACTATATTCTTATATTCCCCATTAAATGGTGCCAAGCATCCATAACCAAAAACCACCCACCCTACCTCTTGAGAATGTAGGCATTATGTTCTCTAGACTGCTTTCTGTTGTCTTGGGGTGATGGCATCTTTAGGGGACCTTGAGAAAATTGGGATAATGGTCAAGTCTTAGAAGAGCTAGCTGTATCATTTGTTGTCCAGTCTCCATGTAATGGGAAAATGTAGGGCTTATCTGAAGTCCTTGTGAGAGTAGTGTGTGACCATCTCAGCTAGCAGCTTTGAAGATGTTTTGGATGAAGAATTTTGAGGAACTTGTAACAGGGGCTTTCTGAAAGGCTGGATCACCTGGGAAACTTGTTTTTATTGATGTCTGGTCCTTTTTTTTAAAACACAAACTTTTAAAGGTAACATATATTTCTGTATTAGTACAAGTATGGAATGTTCAGTGTGCACAAATCAGTTAAAGATGATTTGTTTTGTTTTATTTTTTTGTTTGAGCAGGTAAAAGGCATCTGTTAACTTTATAAATATTTAGACTGTCTAACCAAATATAACATAAATCTATAACCATGCCATAGGAAAGGATGACATATAATAATAGCCTATGAGGACTCTATAGCCAACATATCTCATCCAGTCTCAGAGCTATTCCCATGTCGAAAAATCAGCTTATACATCACCACCTGTCTTGTAGGTTTTTTTCTTTGTTTGTTCCTTCTTTTATGTTTGTAACCAAGATTTTTCAGGAGGTCTCTCCCAGTCAAATCTAATCTTGATTTTTTGAAGGAATCTATAGTTTTTCATTTCCTGTGCAAACACAATTTCTTTCCCAATGCAACATATTTTTGACTTCCATTCTGAAGCCAAGACATCTCTAAAGTAGATAGGTTGATTTAATTCATCACTCCCTTCCATAATCCAATGTCTCTCAGCAACTGCCACTTGATCATTAGCACTAAAAAAATTCAAAGTCAACAAAACACCATACCGAATCCAGACACCCTGTATGCTTTCCATCTTTACATGGCCTATATATATATATTTTTTTGCTTGTTACCTAACCCTCTCTTTAAAGACTTTATTATTTTTAAACTATTTTTTATGACTGTCTATACCCATTTTCTCTTCTTTCTTTACCATCTAAGTATATTTTTAAACATACTGCACCTTTTCAGAGCTTTTCTGTGTCTGGACCTGGCTTTACTAAGCACCTGCAATTCTTTGACCACATGAGACAAATCTTTTTTTCTGCTTTGTTTTCTTTATTTTTTTTTTTCATTTTACATACCAACCACAGTTCCCCCTTCCCCCTCTTCTCCTACTCCTACCCCACCTCACCTCCCATCCACTCCTCAGAGGGGGTAAGACCTCCCTTGGGGAGTCAGCAAGGTCTGGCACACCAAGTTGATGCCAGACTAGCCCCTCCCCACTGCATCAAGGCTGAGCAAGGTATCCCACCATAGGTAATGGGCTCCAAAAAGCCAGTTCATGCACCTGGGATAAGTTCTGGTCCCACTGCCAGGCACCCCCCCAAAAAAAATGTCAAGCCACGTGACTGTCACCCACATTCAGAGGGCCCATTTTGGTCCCATGCAGGTTCCCCAGATGTCAGTCCAGAGTCCATGAGCTCCCACTAGCTCAGGTCAGCTGTGTGAGCCAAATCTTAAACTGCTATGTAAGCCACTGTGGGAATCGGCTTAATACAAGGCACTAGTACATGGCACTGACTGCTGGCTCCAGCACACAGCCAGTGGCCAGTAGCCATGCCTCTATATGCCAAGCGCCAGTCCTCCTGAGATACTGCAGGACTAGAAAGCCATATCTGGCTCCTTGTCCAGAACTTTTCTTAGCTTCCTCAGGCCCTATGTTTAGATATTTGAGCCTCCCTGGTGGATGTCATATAGAACAACTATCTAAATTGTTCCAGTATAATAAAAACTTAGGAGTCAGAAATTGAGATAAAGACCTGATAAATCCAAGGACAGCAGAGAGTCAATTGGCTGACTCTCTCTCCATGTCTTTCCCGAGTCACCAGCCCTGGAACTCCCCCCAGAAATCCCTCTTCTCTCTACCTGTCCCTCTCTAGCAGACCTCCTCAGTCCTCCTAGAACTCTATGGCTAACCCAAGTCAGCTAGTTGCTGATTCTGTCCTTTGATTCAAGGTTGCTTTATTCGCACAGTGGAATGGCTGTACAAACAATTATCCTGTAACAATTTGGAACTATTCTTGGTCTGGAATTTTGTCTAAGTTACTGTTATCAGTAGCCATTAGTATGAGAATGTCAGTTTTTAGAGGAGATATCATGGCATTTCACATTATGGTGTTTTATGTCGGATTTATCCAAAGGGCATAGATTAGTAAGATGTTGTGGCACAATGGAGTTTGGTGGGTTTTTTTTTTCTTTCTTTCTTTTTTTTTTTTTTTCAGTGCTTGGTGTTCCCGTTGCTTCCTAAGTCTTGACCATGTTCAGTATTGCATGGGAAGCAGAGGATCCATCAACACTTTCCTAATTGTTCCAGGAGCTGGACAATCCCTACATACATTTTGATGTAAGGTAACTTTACAATCTACTCTTTAAGTAACAACAGCCCATTCAGGGGAATTGTAACTAAATTTAAGGAGTAATTAACATGCTCTGCTCTGTCATACTGGGGCAGGGACTCTGCAAACCACAGATCTGCTTTTCTAGCTCATTCCTTGTTAGCTTCCGCCTATTGCAATGGCTAGGAGGGGACAGAGGAGGATTTGGTTCTTCCTGAAGATGTACTTTCTGGTAGCAGTTCCTACGAGCTTTGCTTGACATGCTTCTTCAATCTGGAAGGTGGGTTTCTTCTGTAGATGAATTGATTTAAAGTTTTTCTAATCCTTGCAGTATAGCCTCTAAGTCAGCAGCACCTTCCAGCTGGCTTCTACTTCCCAGATGTCTGTGCTGCAGACCTCCAAGCTCAGAGATTTGAAGATCATCAAGTATCATGTCCTCCTGAGTGATCTGTTTTGATTCTATGTGGCCTACTATGGCTTGAAGTCTAATCCTCCAGTACCTAAAATGGCTCTTAAGTGGAAGATTTCATTACTAAGTTAAGATGTAGTCACTAGGCTGAACTCTACTCCAAAACAACTGGCTTCTTGTGAAGGGAGAAGTTTAGCCACAGAAATATGAACATGGGAGAAATCCAGGAAGAAGCCAAGGTGATATTGATGTAACCCAAGACAACAAAAATGGACAAGAAATGCATGGAAGTTCTGGGAAAGACATAGAACAGATTCTCTGCCATAATCTCCAAAGCCAACCTGGCTGACTTGTTGACCTTGGCCATGCAGCCTCCAAAACTGTGACAAAGTAAGTGTGCTGTCTAAGGCACCAGTTTGTGGTCCTTATGGTGGCAGCTCTAGGGAACTAATGCAGAGGCCCTTCTCCAAACTCTAAATGTAACAACTCCAATCTTTACCTGGAATCTCTGTCCTGGGCATGGTAGCTGTTTCCCACAGTTTCTTTCTGGGAAGTATCTAATTGTTCTTCCTTTGATTTTTTTTTTTTTTTTTTTGGTTCCCTAGTTCACAACTTTATACACCAAGTTGAAGGTGCCTTGTTTTAAATTCTGTCCTGATACTTTGTGAGATTTAGGTGTACAGTGATGTTTTGATATAACAAGAAGCTAATTAACACACTCATTACTTCACCTAACTACCTTTGGGTGTCTATGTAGCAAACACATTGTATTCTATTTCAAGTTTACAATGGGTAGTTATTGGTTATAGTCATGTGATCTTAGAATACACACAAAAAACTCAAAATGAATTAAAAATTTATATATAAGACTTGAAACCACAAAATATCTAGAAAAAAATTCTGTAGGGAAGTTCCCTGATGTTGGCCTTGTTAATGATATTTGGGCATGGTATCTGAAGCAAAATAGGTGTGGTGATACCAAACTATTACTAAAATGTTTCTGAACAACAAAGGAAACAATTAAGAAAATGGAGAAGCAGTATACAGAGAAAGAGAAAATATTTGCAAGTCATTTATCCAGTGAAAATTACTACCCAGAATGTGTAAGGAACTCATATAACTCAAAAGAAAGCTAATAATCCACTTTTAAAGAGCAAAGGATCTAAATAAACAACTTTTTTTTGCAAAGAAGTCAAAAACACATGGCCAGCTATATTGTGTTCAAGATGAGAAACCATTGAAGACATGCAAATTAATACCGCTGTACTCCTTTTATGACTGAACCTTGGCCTATATTACTATTTTTAAAATATAGAAATTAAGTATGAAGAAGTTAATCAACTTGGCCCAAGTCATAGAGCCATGGAATAGCAAACCTAGGGTAGTATGATTCTAGGAGCTTTCAACCATAATACATAAAGACTAAGACTCTAAATTAACTGGTCACTGCACGTGGAAAATGTCACAGAAACCAGAAAAATAGCACCTTTTCCCCTAAAGATAAAGGCTGCCTTTTCTTACCTACTCTTTGTCTTTATAGGTATTTGTAACCCACACCAGTCCAATTTCTCTGAGAAGCAGAACATCTGAGGCAAGCCAATGAGGTAAATTTTACTAACATTTCTTACTAAAAGAGTACCACTTCTAGACCAGCTTGAGAACTCCAGCATGCTTGGTCAATCTTCAAGCCACAGATTTGGGAAAACACAGGCTTGGCAATGCCATCATGTTGAGACCACAGGGGTTGTGGCTTGAGGTTACGTTTGCTACAGTAGATTTCCTGGAAGGCAATGTCTGAGTACTGTTTCACCATGGCTGCCACAATAATACATTTCTACATTGACATCTGAGGAATAGCTACTCATGGTTCCTGTGAATTTTCCCTCACTGAAGTATGATGCCTATCCTTTTGTATTGACTTAACAGAGCCACAGGTACCTAGATAAACATTTTTGTGTGTCTGTGGGATTAGCATTTGAGTAAGTTGATCAGTAGACTGACTTCCTCAAGGTACCCAATGGTCTGAATAGAACAAAAGGTAAGAGGAACAATTCACTCCTTTTTGTCCTGCCTCACTGTAGTTAGAAATTTTCCTGTGTCCCACCTGGTCCGCAGCTGCTTGGACCCAAATAATCACACACAGGCTAATATTATTTTTAAACTATGGCCATGGCAAGCTTCTTGCTATCTAGTTCTTATATCTTAAATTAAACCATTTGTATTAATTTATAAGTTGCCACATATTCCGTGGCTTTACTTATGTCCCATTACATGTTGCTCCTTGGGCAGCTCACTGGTGTCTCTCCCTACCTTCTTCCTGTCTCTCTCTTTGAATTTCCTCCTGCTTCTAAGTTGCCTTGCCATAAGCCAAATGGCTTTATTTATCAACCAATCAGAGAACACATATTTGCAGAGTACAGAACTTCTAAGCCTCCATACTTACAAAAGTTGACCCCCTTATTATTTGCCCATCTCTCTGTCTATCTGTCTACTTGACTATCTGTCTATCTATCTATCTATCTATCTATCTATCTATCTATCTATCTATCTATCTACCTACCTACCTATCCATCCATCCATCCATCCATCCATCCATCCATCCATCCATCCATCCATCTATCCATTCATCCATTGTAGTTTAATGAGAATTGTCTCCCAAGGCTCAAGCACCTGGTCTCCATTTGGTGATGCTGTTTGAGGAGGTGGTGCCAGATGAAATATGGCACTGGGGCCATGGTTTGAGGGTTCATAGCATGGCCTCATTTGTATTGGATTTCTTCTTTGTGTTTGTGATTGAAGATGTGGCCTCTTAGCTTCCTGCTCCGGTTGCTATGCCTTCTGCTATCTGCCAGCTGCCAAACCTCTCCATTATGATGGACTCTTATCCCTCTGGAACCAAGCGAAAATTAACTTGTCTTAAATGTTCCACAATCTTCCATAATTACCACTGCTTGCTAGGAAACAAGCATTCAAAACATGAACCTGTGGGAGACATTGCAGATTCAAGCCCTAGAAAGGAGTTAATGATTTGGTGCTTACACTGTTCTGAAGGAAGGCACTCTGCAGTTCCGTTCTCCCTCTGAATTCATGCTTCAGGTTGATCTTTAAAAGACTATTGCAGTACTTTATGAGGCTCGCTGCTTCTGAATCCCCTAATAGTAAGTGCTAGAACCAGTAGATGCGTTTGTGCCTCCTTCCTCTGAAGTACATTCTGAGTCAATGCTCAGTGCATATGCCTGTGCTTCTATGAGGCAACCATTCTTCAAGAACCTGGAGAGTGATTTTTACTGAGACTCAGAGGGCAGGGGCAGCAACCCATGCCTGGAAGGGGCATTCACCCTTAGAGAGACAAACTAAAGGCTCTTCCAGGAAAAAAGAGGACCTGTATTAATTTTTCTCATTGTGCTGATGAAAATACCTGACAAAAAACAATGTAAAAAAAGGAAAGGATTTCATTTTAGCACACAGTTTGGGGGTATTGCTTATCATGCTGTAGAAGGCATGGCAGCAAGAATGTGAAGCAGCAGGTCCCATTATGTCCACAGATGTGAAGCAGAGAAAAAATGATGCTAGCACTCAGTTTGCTTCTCCCGTTTTATTCAGTCCAAGGACTGAAGTTTATAGTCTGGTACTACCCACATTCAGGATGGGTCTTCCCTCATCCATCAAACCTTTTGACGGATGCTCTCATAATCATGCACAGAGCTTTATTTCTTAAATAAATATATTTTTAGTTATTATTTATTTATTTATGTTTATCTGTATGCACATACACATGGCACAGCCTGTGTGTGGAAGTCAAGGACAATTTGTAGGAGTTGGTTTTCTCTTTCCACCAGGTAGTTCCTGGGGATTGAATTCACGTTGTCAGGCTTGGCAGCAAACATTTAGAACTGCTGAGCCATCTCACTGGTTCCTCTTAAGTGACTCTAAATCTAGTCAATTTGGCAATGAAAATTAGCCGTCAAAGAATCTGATGTGGATTTCACCACCAAGACACCAAGGGATCTCCTAGAGACAGAGAATCATATTGAGGACACTGAATAGCTCTCCTTGCTGAGGGCTATTGGACATCAAGAGATAACAGTAGCTGGGCTGGCCTTGTTAAGGGAAAACATTAGCCCTTAAGGCTGCTATGGCTACTCCATCCATGTACTTGAAGGAGATCAATAGCAAAGGCTGGCCAACCTCAACTAGATGAGGGATTTAGCTACTGCTTTAGAGTATGGTTCATGATGGACAACAACACAGGTTATAAAACTGTCATTGTTTGAATCTGACCTTGACATCTATAGTTGGAATCAGACCTCTTTGTCTATGGTCTTAACCTCTCTTTCCATGTTTTCATTCAGCTGATAAAGCCATTTATCACTATATATTCCTACCTTAGGCCACAGAAAATGGATAAACAGGGATGCCGCTCACAATTCAGTGTGCTGGGGAACTAACTGCACTCACTTCTGTCCCACCCCAAAAAGTAACTACAGTGCAACCATTGTTCATTGTTTATTTATTGCTTATCATGTTGAATTTTGTATGTGATCCTCATCCAGCTGGTCTCAGAGGAGACCTATCACCTATAGATAGGAGCTGAAAGATGAGTTATATGAATTAAGTGACTATGGTTAGTGATAGATGGATATGGCTACCTATTCACGCAACTTTCCATTCTTTTATCATGCTCAGCTTTGGATCCCAGATGTGCCATCCCTATCCAGTGATGAAGAGCTGCTCTAAGCCCAGCCAACACCATGACTAAGTGGTTTTGATGATAGTAGATAGTGACCAGCCACTTATGGCAAAGTTTCTTAACAATACTAGGTCCTGGCTAGCTGGTAAAAGCTACTTTTCACCAAGTATTCAATGCCATGCTACATATGTGGTTGGCACAACTTCACTCAGGACCTTTGAGAAATAGTCTGATATTTCTACTGGGGTTCAACATAAATTCCCACTGTATGCATACAGTCTCACCGACATCTAATATACTCCAATGTCTAGATGATTTCTCCATGCTCTAGTCATATTACAGGTATCTCTTAAAGCTAGCAGCCTTTCATGCTAGCCAGTGCTGGGCCAAAGCACAGCCTTGTTGTGCAAAGGTACCTGAAGAACTCAGAGGTCCACCATACAGTGTGCTCCCTCCTTTGTGGTTAGAATACACGAGGCAATCACTTATTGGTTCCTTTGGAGAAGGTATCTTGGTATCTTACTGAATCCTGGACTTCTAAACATTTACTCACTGGTCAATCTTGAGTCTTTAGGTGATTTAGTCTCTACCTTTTGAAGCATGTATATTAAGTCTTCCACTAAATTTGCCTCTAAGCCCCTGGCCCTTAGTGAGAGCATGCAGTTATCAACTGAATGAATCAGTATAACATTTTTCAGAATATCTGATATCTTTAATTCCTTGGCTTAGCAGAGGAAAATAACTAAAACTGTAAATGTACACTCATGTATATGTCACATAAATACAAATATTGCTGGTCCATTGTTTTGAATGGAAATAGAAAGCACTCCCCAACTCAGTATCAAGTCCCTGAGGCCTTATACACCTCTCCCAGCAACAGTACCACATCTGACCTAAGGACAGCATTTGTGAATGAAGCTTCTACTTCACTTAGCTTAGGGAATCTCCATAACACAGAAGAAGTAGGAAATATGTGCAAGGTTACATGGGAACTTACAGGGCCAGAATGACGACTGTGTACAGAAACATACAGAGCTGCTTGTAGATGGTAACACCTTAAGTTTCCTCTTCTTTGTTCATTGGGTGGGGTCCTGCATCAGTTCCTGGTGAGGGCATTCTTCCATTAGGTCTTGCTACTCGTGTGGTACCAACTACCTACCAACTAGTTTTCTCTGCCTTTTCAGTGGAACAGTTGGCCTGTATACATTCAGTTGCAGAGTTGCCTTGATAAAAACCATATGAAAATACCACAAAGCCAGAGTACTGCTGCATAAAGGGTATTTTGTCATAAACCACAGTTTTAACATTTTAAAACTATCTTTTCCTAAGACATAGTCATTCAACCAAGACTATACAATTCTACTCCATTCATTGTGATAGCTCTAATCCAAGAGTCAAGATGCTCGTGTGACATTTGATACCAGTCACAACTTTGAAGAGGAGAAAGGAGACAAACTTAGAACAGACGACTTCTGGGGTCAGGTTAGCACCAACCCTGAGGCGGTTCAGAGTCAGGGGCCTCACTATTTGCAGAAAAGATCCATCACCTTTATCTTCGTGATGCCTCAATTAAATAAAGGCCCTGAGAGAGGGAGAGAGCCACCTCATATTCCGATCCTTCCTTTATCATATTTCACAAACTCCACCTCATCATCCAAAATGCCCACTCATTCCCCTGCCAAGGAGAGAATTATTAGGTGCCAGCACATTCAGTAGATTTGATTGCACTCGAAAATGTTCATTTACTGTAGCAGGCTCATTATTCTAAAACTGTAATTGGAACCCAGACTGTTATGACCTCAGGAAATAGGATGTAGCAAAGCTATGCAGAAATATTAACTTTGCTGCGAAGCAGGGTAGCCCTTTCCTCAGGGAAAGTAGAAGACCTCACCCCACCCCACCCCCATCACCCTG